TCACAGAGAAAAAAATGTGACAATGAGTGTGTATATGTCCATGAATGACTGAAAAATTGTGCTGAACACTGGAATTTGACACAACATTGTAAAATGATAATAAATCAATAAAAAAATGTTAAAAAAAAAGCAAACATGGTGTATATGTTAACAGTGGAATATTATTCAGCTATAAAATAAAAGGAAATCCTGCCATTTGTGACCAAAAAAAAAAAAAAAAAAACTAGGACCTTGTTCACACAGTGTATGCCCAGCCCTGGAAATGTAATCAGGGCTCATTAAATATTTGCTAAAAAACAAATACATCTAAAGCAGGTACAACCAGCAAAGCCACAAGTTGAACCTTTTCAAATTAAACTTGTGCTCCCCTCCTATAACCATCTCCTTTTTTTGAAAATTTGAATATAGTTGGCATACAAGATTATGTTAGTTCCAGGTATATACTACATAGTGATTTGACATTTGCATACATCATGAAATTATCATGATAACTGTAGTAATCATTTGTCTCCATATAAAGTTATTACAGTATTACTGACTATATTCCTTATGTTATATCTTACATTCCCATGACTTATTTATTTTATAACTGGAAGCTTGTACCTCTTAATCCCTTTCACTTATTTCACTCACCCTCCCCTCCCCTCCCCTCTGGCAACCACCCATTTTTTTTCTCTGTATCTATGAGTCTGTTTTCATTTTGATTTTTGTTTTTTAGATTCCACATATAAGTGAGATCACAGGGCATTTGTTTTTCCCTGTCTGACTTATTTCACTTAGCATAATACCCTCTAGATCCACCCATGTTGTTGTAAATGGCAATATTTCTTTTTTAATGGCTAAGTAATACTCCATTGTGTGTGGAGTGTGTATACACACACACCATATCTTCTTTATCCATTCATCTATCAATGGACACTTGGGTTGCTTCCACATCTTGGCTGCTATAAACAATGCTGCAGTGAACACTGGGGTGCTACCACCATCTCCTTGTTGCTACTTCTTTACTCAGTGCAGGAACTCTGCCACAGCCACACCGAACTGCTTCAACAGTGCCTTTTTCTCCTGAGGTCCCCTCCAAAATCCTTCACAGCTCCTCTTATCCTCTCTCCCACATCAAACGAATCTGCTCTCACCATTTTAACTATTACATGCAGGAAAACAGTCACTTTTTAGACCTGCCTTCTCTCAAATTCCATGTCCTCATTGCCAACTGTCTGCTCCACCTTTTCCACATGCATGTCCAACCACTTCAATCCAGCTTGCCAAATTAGCTCTGTACTCTCAACCTTCCAATTTCTTTCAGTAGGACGTTCTTTCTGTTACCTAATGGGAAAACTTAAGTCACTTCTGATTGCTTCCTCCAAAGCCAAACCAATCACAAACTTAAGAGATTCTTTCTTCATGGCAAGCTTCCTCCTTTCATTTCCATCATCTCAGGTCTGGGCCATTGCAAAAGCATCCAGAATGAAGTCTGTGTCTCCAGAGTCTACCCTTCCTAAGGTTCCTGTAGGAAACCTCCAGATTAAATTTGCTCAAATATTACTTGATCACGTTATTCCCTTTCCAAAAATTTTCCCTGAGTCCTCACTTAATATCACTGTTGCCATTTTTAGACAGCACTCAAAAGCTGTCCATCTCATTCTGCCTTCCACTCTTTGTGGGGTCATTTGCCTCAAGTTTCCTCCTTACGTGAGGGTGAATAACAAGCAGCCTATGCCAGGAAATCTATGGCTATTGTCTCAAACCATCAAGTCTCCAGGGCCAGGGCCAGACCAACTTGGACAAGGTATCTATGTCTACAGAAAGTAATTATTCATTACACACAGACTGAATTACAGCAGTGTGTGTGGCTCTTGGGATCTGCATTTCCTCTTCCTCCTCTATCTAGGTGTTTCCCTAAGTCACCAGGGGAACTCAGGACATCAGAAACAGGTCAGAGTCTATGATTCACAAGACCTCTGATGAGATTACTTTAATTGCTCAATAATTCTGTAAAAGGATAGAACTGATTTGTCTGGAATCAAAAAGAATGAGGAGGAGTGTAGGAATCAGACCCATTTTCTATTATGAGATAAATCTCAAACTACGTCTCCCTAAAGGAAGCTGGAGGAGCAC